AATCTGCTCGTTTATAACAGAAGAAATCATCTGCTCGGAACGAGTCTCAATCTGCTCGTTTATAACGAGATTTGCTCGTTTATAACAGAAGAAATCATGGAAATGGAATGGAACGAGTCTCAATCTGCTCGTTTATAACAGAAGAAATCATGGAACAGAAGTCTCAATCTGCTCGTTTATAACAGAAGAAAATAGATAACGAGTGGAACTCCAATCTGCTCGTTTATAACAGAAGAAATCAGAGAACGAAGTCTCAATCTGCTCGTTTATAACAGAAGAAAATCAGAGAACAAGAAAAGTCCAATCTGCTCGTTTATAACAGAATAAATCAGGAACAAGTCTCAAACGAGTTTATAACAGAATAAATCAGAGAACAAGTGCTCGTTTATAACAGAAATAAATCAGAGAACAAGAAATCGTTTATAACAGAAGAAACGAGTCCCAATCTGCTCGTTTATAACAGAATAAATCATGGAACGAGTCCCAATCGGCTCGTTTATAACAGAGGAAATCATGGAACGAGTCCCAATCGGCTCGGTTATAACAGAAGAAATCATAGAACGAGTCCCAATCTGCTCGTTTATAACAGAAGAAATCATGGAACGAGTCCCAATCTGCTCGTTTATAACAGAAGAAATCATGAGAACAACGAGTCCCAATCTGCTCGTTGAAATCATGGAACGAGTCCCAATCTGCTCGTTTATAACAGAAGAAAATAGAACGAGTCCGAATGAGTCCCAATCTGCTCGTTTATAACAGAAGAAATCACGAACAACTCCCAATCTGCTCGTTGATAACAGATAAAATCACGAATGAGTCCCAATCTGCTCGTTGATAACAGAAGAAATCACGGAACGAGTCCAAATCTGCTCGTTGATAACCGAACGACTCTGCTGGTTTGTAACAGAAGAAATCACGAATGAGTCCCAATCTGCTCGTTTATAACAGAAGAAATCATATATATATATATATATATATATATATATATATATATATATATATATATATATATATTGAACAATAAAAATATTAAAAAATTAAAATCTTCAGACACACTGGTGTGACGGTTACACACCTGGCCCAGGGTCGGATCCTTTGGTTACGGCGCCAACGGTGACGTCGCTCCTCCTGGTCGCTCCTCCTGGGTCCAAGCGTGCCGCTCCAACCCCTTGGTCAGATGATCACCAGCCTCGCCTTTCCCGACTCGCTTCCAATACCTGGTCACTAAAGCAACTGTACCGATCTCCGGTCTGTCTACCCACGCTGTGTTTAGATCTTAGACAGACGGGACCAGCAGGGATTGGGGCCGATACAAGTTGAGTCCGACGGGGTGGCAAAACACAAATAAAAGAGAAAATAAACTCACGAGACAAAAGATTGCTGATGAAAAAAATGGGTAACAACCTTTTATATCTTAATGTCCGTTACATAAAAACAAAATTGTTCTCATTTCCCAACCCGCTCTGTGGACTATGGCACCAAGCTTCTATCACACAACCTAAAAGATTTCAGAATTGCCTACTCTTTAGAATTGTGTATGTCGGAGTGTGGTTTGGTTCGACACTGGGGCTAATTTCTATCGATCATTCGCAGTTGATTCTTCTCTTCGACTTGAGTCGTATTTCTTCTTCTTCGTCGACTTAGGCTGGAAGTTCTCTTGTCTTCGACTTGGGCTGGAAGGATCTCTTGCCGCAACTCAGCCGCAACTCTCTGTCGTGGAGGTGATCTCTTCTCGCTGCCGTCCGGGGCTGAACTCTTCTGTCTTCGACTTGGGCTGGAAGGATTTCTTGTCTGAGGATTCTTTTTGCCCGCAAAGGGGCGAGTGAATCGGGCCCGATGCCCGCGTTCAGGCTCTTTCCCTGCCCGCGGTCCAGCTGCAACTCCACTCCAACTGATTTCTGTCGACTGGGGTCCTGTTTTTTATTGACGCCGCAACAAACTGGGGTGGGTCTGTCGGCGTCAGGGTTTTCTCGATAATTCCAATAGCCGCATTAATTCTGTTTCCCCATTATCGCTATTGTTTTCACCCTACTTCCTCCTCATAGTGCTTTTTTGGTGGGGAGGCGCATATCCATCTCTCTCGGTCTCTCGTATGTCAGGTGACCGCTTTCGACTAATGAGATTCTGGTTGAGCATTTCTTTCTTTTCTTTTTCTGCAGCCACGTGACCGTTTTCGGCTAATGAGATCCTGATTGGGCGTTTCCTGCAATCAATCGGGGCGGGCTTATATCGTTCTTGTTCTAAAAAACAAAATCTAATTTTTCCTTTTTTTCGCACGTACGAAAAATGACCATCTTGGCCTTCTCTTACCTGGACTTTGTCAAACAGCCCGCCGCTAATTAGACTTGACTTCAGAAAGGATCTTTTCCGCCTTCTTGGCGCCCTCTGTGAGCCAAAAGCAATTGTCCCTCTTTTTACCTCTTTTGTTTTTCCTGATAGTCAAAAATCTTAATTATCTACATTGAAAATGTCTCCACTTTATTATCGTGGGTGTCCAATTCTTAACAGGTCAGGGTCTGTATATAGTTCCACCGGTCCTCCCCTCAACCCAAAAAACACTTTTCTCTGATTAAGATTTCGTTCTTATTGTTCTAAAAAAAAAAAGAATTTCCCTTTCTCCAATTTGACAATGAGTCTTTCCATGCAAAAGTAGGCTAGGTGCTTTGACCGATACCTGGCTTCCATCAAGCGGCCCGTTTTGATATCATGTCTTTTTCCCTTTCTTTCTTCTTATTATTTCTAATTCTATTCTTCCAATTGTCTTTAAAAAAAATTCGGTCAACATGCTAGCTAAGATATCTTTCTGACTCGTGTTTTTGTTAATGACCGCTTTTTTGTATTTCTCGACCTCTCTCTTTCCCATTCCTTCTTCTTCCCTTAGGATCGTCCAAGTACAATCTTAGTGAATTATTTTCAACTCAATTATTTTCCGTTTTAAAAAAAATCAACAACCTGTTTAGTAAACCGAGTAAGAAAAAATTAAATCATATTTCTATGAATATTTCTAATAATGCAAGGTGCCACACTGGGTTGTAGATTAATATTCTTTCGTTTTTATTATTATTATTTCATTTAGATTCCTCGACTAGTTTCGGCCAACCTGGCCATCATCGGGAGAAGAAATATATCTACTTGCTGGTAGCAGTGAACTACAGAAAATCGTTATATATATATATATATATATATATATATATATATATATATAACGATTATACTGAAAATTGGATACACAAACAGAAGCATAAAGTCGGACGAGGGTGAATCAATAAGTGTGATATCTAAATTATAACTGGATTTTGATCTGAAATTTCCACTGCATAATGTCCGATCTATGTGGCTAATATTCATCATAGATTTAAGCGCTTCAAAAAGGAAGAAGATTATGTTAAGAAAGGTGTGTAAAATAAATGTTTCGTTTTTGTGCTTTTATATTTGGCTACGGACTTATTGATGCACCTATGTAAATGTACACGGGCATGAGCAGAAAAGAAGGCGTTTACGAAGTGGTTGTTATAAAGATTAAAGCACTCAGAAGACTTACTGTGTAAATCTTACTTATTATAAAACGCAGATTGTGTGTGTGTGTGTGTGTGTGTGTGTGTGTGTGTGTGTGTGTGTGTGTACGTTTATATATTGGATCGGATTTCCTACATTTTTCAACCGATTTCAACGAAACTTCACAGGACTACGTAAAATTACCTTGCGGTGGTTCTGACAGCGCCAAAAATTCTTAAATCTCAATTGTTTTTGCACGAAATCAGTTTGAAAACACGATTAAGAGGCATCACGAGAATGAAAGGGGGACAACTCATATCGAGTTATACTTAAAAAACCCAGGTTGTTTGTGTGTGTGTGTGTTCGTTTATATATGGGATCGGATTTCCCACATTTTTCAACCGATTTCAACAAAACTTCACTTTTTTTTTGCAGGTAGTGTTTCTTATTGTCTTGCACACTTTTTTCTTTATTTTTACATTCAGAATGCTTTAAAAATTCCATTTACAAGACAATTGTTTATAATAAAATTCTATTCAATCGATAGACTCATAACGATTGAAAACAGTGTTTTTGTTTGAGTTTGGGTTTGACCAATTCGTTAAAAAAAAAAAAAAAACTAATTAAGACATGCGTGTCCGTCAACCTTAAACAATAATCTTTGTCAATTTTATTTTTCAGTCTTTATGATGGTCGATACTTGATCTATCTCTTACTGTTACATCCCCGGGCAACGCCGGGCTCTACTGCTGGTACTAAATAAATGAGGCCCAAACAGAGAAAAGGAATTAATTTGTAACTAGGAGTACTCGTGAAAATTTTACGATTTTAATTTTCTGATGATTCCTAATTCTTATGCAAATGGTTGAATAAGTTACTTGTGAGTTCCATGACTATAAATCTTCCGCGGAAATTCTCCGATTGCATCGTTAAATATTTGAGCTTAACAACTTTAACAAAATATTACAATCACAATCATGAATGCAGTTCATTATTTAAAGAGGAAGGCACAAATGAAAAGATTAAAAACTAACAAGGTTTTCCATTTCACTGAAGCAGACGCATGTAAGCGTTATTGTCTTCCCTATTCTTTCTTTCTTATGTCGTATGCTCTTTTTTCTTAACAAAACTAAACAACGTCTCTGATACCGTATAAACTCGTGTATAAGTCGACTTCATGTATAGTACAATCCCTGAATTTTTTAATTTTATCCCCTCAAGTCCCAGAAGAATGTACCTGTGTATAGTGCAACCGGTCACCGAAAATACATGACTTTTAACCTCTTCAAGAAAAATTACTTATGCATAGTAGAGACCCCCTATTTTTGGCGTGAAAAGCTGATCATAAAAATTCGCACAATACTCCAGTATATATAGTATATATTTTTCTTCTGTCTTTCGGCGCAATCTAGACGGAATAGTTCAATATTTATCCGAAGTAATGGCTGGGCGTAACGCACGTGCTAACTAACTAACAGAAGAACAAGCTGGATTATAATACTTACGGTTTGGCGATACATTTCAGTCACAACTGAGTGACACTTGATAACCTTTCTGAAATAAAAAGAAAAGAAAATGTAATAAAAATGACTATTTACTACGCTAGGTTTAATCTGAAACAAACCCATTAGTGTGTGCTACCAAATGGCTATTGAATTCAGAGCAGTATTAATAACACGAGACTAGTTCACTGACCACTATTTCAAAGAGATGGAAAATGTAACACCGAAATCCAAAAGTACAGTGGAAGAGTGAAAGATGCCTTCCAAATGCTAAACGAAGTATAAAGAAACAAGAAAATCTTGTTAGAAACAAAGATAAGAGTATTATGTAAATATCAGTTCTTCTAAATGGCAGTGAATGTTGGACAATTTTTTACACGGATAAAGAGGAAACTTAAAGCAACAGAATGGTGGTTCTACAGAAAGATGCTGAGAGTACAATGGACTGAACATGTGGATAACAAGAAAATTTTAAGAAAAATGAGACCTAAAGATACGTAGGATCACAAAAAGGCAGTTGACATTTCTAGGAAATTTAATGAGTAAAGAAGGCTTAGAGAATTTGACACGCAAAGGATATATTGAAGATAAGAAACACTGAGTTACAAGCTTGTGTAAATGGATGACAGAAGAGTGAGTGGAAGCTACGAAATGCAGGAGAGCCATGAACGCAGAAGATCAAGAAGACTACTAAAACACTTTTTATCTTTTAAACGGTTTTTGCCTTTGCCGGATTGTTGTTAGGTTCTAAATAATAAACTTTATGATTCATAACTGAATGTTAAAACGTATTTTTTTTAATATTGTTGCATTCATATTACCAATTGTATTTTGTTGTGATGTTTCCGTGAAAGGAACTGTACGAGAATATGAAACGTCGATCTCATTTAAAGCGAATGAAGCATACGGCAACATAAATATATGAAAAGTTAAAATAAAACACAAAAATCTTCGTATACACTTACACACACACATATGTGTGTGTGTTTGAAATTCTTAATACAAAGTTAGCATTTATCTACTTTCAAAAACAATATTTGTACTTATCTGTTTGGTTTGTAACGGGCCTGAAATGTTTGCGTCGTGTTTCCTTAACTTCCCGGGGAAAAAGAGAAAGAATGACTTTCTCGCCTAGTGATGTCTTGAGCGGGTCTCATCAGGTCATGTAACTGTTTTCTATTCTCGTGAATATTTATTTTAATATATTTTTTAATTTTACTGTTATTTTTTGTTTGGTCAAGGGGAGACAACTTTTTGTCTATCGCTACAGAACCCTAAAGTTTTAGTCATGAGTATTTTGAAGGATAAACAGATTGAAAAAAGTCACGTCATCCTCTTGTCGTTGCAACCATACACAAATAGAACATTATTTAGTGAAAAGCATATACAAACCATCATCTTGGTATATCGATTCAGACACTAATTGCTTCGAGAGATGACAATCAAAATTATACTAAATAACAAGCACTAAATTTCAATAAATGACATTGATAAAATTTCTCTCAATCTTGATTGTTTTGTAGTAAAGTTAATATAGATATAAAATTTAATTAAGACACAATTTTAAAAAATATAATCGTATTTTTTTAATTAAAAATACGATTTTAAAAAAAAAATTTTTACAATTATTAATTTTAAGTAAGCATATATGCATTATTAACTAATGGTTAGATGGAGAGCCATGATCACCTACGCCCTGAAGAGACATAGTATGAAAAAAATTAAGAAAAAGATCGTTTTGATTATATTTCAAAACGACCGGCTACTCGTTTTTCCGAGTACATCCTGTTGCAGATACCTGCTCAGGCATATTTGTATTTCTTTAACACCCCCAGAGCTATGTTGTTTATACTGCAACTAAGCTGAGCAGACTTTAGTTAAAGTTTCTGCGAGAGAGCGAATAATATATCATCATCAGCAGTGTAAACAACGCTGGTACAACCAAACTCTCGGTCACGACGACTTTTGACTTCGTGCTAGCTTCCGAAAAGTTTGTGCAGTTTCTGAGGAAGGTAGTGCGAGTAAACAAACGAGTCAAAAGTGGTTTGCAAAGCTTTGTGCTGAAAACATCCCAGTGAAATAGTCAGCAAAGCTAGTTTGCTAACTCTCACTCTGTTACAGGTGCAGTATGTTTGGATTTTTTCAGTGCGCTGACGTCGCTATCAAATGTGACACAAAATTCAATTTAAAGTGGCTTTACCAGCAATACCGTAGAAAAAAAATTACTCCAACACACTCGGCACTTCCCCTTTTGGGGAAACCTCAGGCTTCGGTTAATGATCAGCGACTTCCCGAAGGGATGGTCCTCTAGGGCTTCAGCTAATATTAACTGAAAACTACCCCAGCTGGCCGGCGAAGTATGTTCAACAAGTATAGTATGTTGTTTGTATGTTTACATCAGAAGCCAACCGGTTATTTTTCGTCGATTTTTGCGCATAATCACTAGAGTGGAAATGAACTATTTTTCTGTCCACATAGAAATCAGATATGTAATTTGTTCTGCTCTGAATAAAATAGTATTGTGTATTGAAAAAAATGCATTCATTCTTTACTCCTTTTACATGTTAAAACACTACTTTTTTTTTTAATGAGAAAAAAGTTTGAGAAAAAGAAATAATTAAAACTTCTATCCTCGTTTTAACGTAGGGTCGAAACTTTTCAGTGAAAACCCTGTTTTTCAACTTATATTTTGTGTCTCGTTTTCAAAAAAAAAAAAGAAAGAAAGAAAAAGAAAAAAGAGCTAATGCTAGGAACTTCTGCATATGCTTAATATATTTTTGTTTTATTATCTTATTTTAATTCTGCTCGTCCCTCTCTTAGTTCCTTTGTGAGCTTATATGTGTTACATCCTGCCAATACCTTCATAAATGATGTATTATTCCGCATTGATCGCGTGGAAAAACGGAATAGACATATCAAAGATTTTACTTAATTTCAGTGAGTAAAAGAAAGAAAGAAAGAAAGAAAGAAAGAGACATCTTGCTAATACCTCCTAAATAATGGACTGTTCCGTTTTGGTCACGAGGAAAGACGGCAAAGACATATCAGAGACGCTGCTTGATTTCAGTGAGAAAAAGAAAGAAACCAAAGTTCAAACAAGAAAGACGGGAAATTATCAAGGGTACTACTAGTGATTATTATTTGTGTATGTTATGTTTCCTGCATTGTATCCTGTAGATCCGGGTCTAAACTGTGGTCCCTAGGCGCTATAGGAGAATTGTCATTTAATTTGATAGCACTTTTCTTATTATATGGGATGTTCCTTGTAGGGTGATCTTCTGGGCAATTTGTATATTGATGTTACCTGAGACACTGTTAATGAAACAGCCTAACAACATCTGATTTCGAGTGGTGCATCCTAATTTTGGTAAGCATTTTTCTGGTCTTGACGTCCAATCTTTGAATGTCATTCAACTTCCAGTTAATAATGTTGAAGCTTCATGTTATTACAGATATAGCTAAGGTGTTGATAGCCTTCATTTTATTGGACCCATTAAGTTCGCTTTCTAGTATCAAACGCACTCTCCTGTAATATTCTTTTCGGATTTTTTCTTTCATAATTTAATGTTGTATTCCGTCTCCTTCAATATTTCCTTAATCTTTTTATGTACCATCTTGGTCTAGTTCCTTAATTTTGTTGTTGATATCAAGGTCTAAATCTGTAGTTTTCGTTAGTTTGCTGCATTTGAAGGTGGCTTTGACACATTTGTCGATTCCGAAATCTATCCTAATGTCTTCTATGAAGGTTTTGACAATAGTCAATAGGTTCTTTCTGTTGGTTGTCATCCTTGGCAGACGTTTTAAGATCCTCAATATAGAATAGATGATTTAGTTTTCCATTCTGTGACTAGTAACCGTAGCTACTGTTGTTCAGTAGGCAGCTGAGTGGCGCTAAGTAATGAGTGGTGACAATGAATCTACTTGAAGATTCCGCTTTTGATGTTGATTAGTCTCGATGTTAATGACCCGTTTGTATGGTTTTAGGTTTAGTGTAGCCTTCCAGTTTTTCATGCTCTCCGTTATAAATTTGACCGTCGTGGGGCATACTCTGTATATCTTTAGGCCCTTTTCTATCCATAAATGTGGTACACCATCGAACGCCATTCTGTAGTCGATCTATGCTATCGATAAGTTTCTTTTCCTTGTTTTCACCTCTGCCAATATTCTTTAATTGGTAATTAATTGGTCTTTGCATCTGTAACTTCCTCTTTTGCATCCCTTCTGTTCTGCTGGGAGTAAATTGTTTTTCTCAACGAAGTCGTATGTCCTCTCGGTTATGATAGTAGTAAAGATCTTGTACATTGTTGGTAGGCAAGTGATGGGCCTATAGTTCTTCGGGTTCTGCGTCTTTTCTGTTTTGGGGAGTAGGTATGTTACTCCCCACATGAACATTTTTTCTTGGTTTATGCTTATATCATTGTATGTCCGTGCGAGGTCTTGGTGGGTGCGAGATAGTTTGTTTTTTTATCCAAAAATTGGCTATTCGTCTAATCCTGGTGCTTTCCAGTTTATGGCTTTGCAGATGGCAGCAGTTGTTTCAGTAATATTGATATCCTTACATTTTTGACACTCTGTAGCGTCTATTGTTTCTGTTGTTACTTGATCGATGTAGCTCTTTCATTGTGTATTTTACAGTTTTCCCACAACTTGCACCAGAACTCCTCAACTTCCTGGATATTTAGTGGGTCATTTATCTCTATTTTATGTTCCTTAGTTCTCGATATAGTTTCTTTGAAGATCTTGTTTTGCCAGAAGAATCTGTTTCTTTTTTTTTTTTTTTTCATAGCGCCTGTTTCTCTGTTCCTTCACTTGAATTTGTTATTTCAGCTTCTCTTTAACTTTTGGTACGCCAAGCAACTAGACCGGAGTTATCCTTCTCTTAGCTTAGTTGACATTCAAGGAATTCAGTGTACTCTTTAACCCACAGCTAGCGGGGGAGAAGAGATGGAGTTATGCCTTTCCTAAGAGCATTAGTGCAAAAGTGAATTCAACTAACTCAGCCGAAGTTAAAAAGTTCG